GAATTCGCGAATCACTAGATCTGTTGGGGCGTGAGGCGGTAAAGGAATTAGATTGAGAAACTTTGAAAACCGGTCAACAATCACCATGACTTGTGAAAACCCGTTCTTGCTTACCTTACCCATGTCAGTGAAATCGATGGAGACGGACTCCCCGGGACCATCAGGAATGGGTAGGGGTGTGAGTAGCTCCATGGGTTTTTGTCTGCATGGTTTGATTCGCTGATAGACTTGACATTCAGCTGTAAATTTCTCAGCAGTCCCTTTCATACCAGGCCAATCAAAATGTCTCAGCAAATTAGCGTACGTTTTAGCCATGCCGAAGTGTCCGCTCCGGCCATGAGCCAAGTCCAAAAACTGTGTGCGGAGAGGCTCATGGTTGGGTACACACAAACGATCATGGTTCCCGTATCGGCGAAAAATCAGTCCTCCATACTCGTGGAAATCAGGCTGACTACTAGGATAAGCCCGCAACTGCTCAAGGACGGAACTAAGTTCCGGATCCTTGGCTGTCTGCTCTACGAGTTCCTCCTTCAATTTCTTCCGGAGGTCGTAGGATTTCATAAGGCAAGTCATGTACTCAGGGTGGCGAGACAAAGCGTCAGCGACTCGATTGTAACAACCCTTTTTATGCCTCAATTCAAAATCAAAGATGTCAATCGCATGAAACCAGCGAAGCAAGGTAGGGGACAGAGTAGTCTGCATTTTGATCCACTTCAAGGTCTCATGATCTGAGAACACTTTGAAGTGGCGTCCCAACAGGTAATGTTTCCAGTGTTCCAACGCCATGCGCAAAGCGTAGAGCTCGCGCATGTAGGTGGAAGTGGCTACCTTTACGCTGGGCATTCGTTTGCTATAGTACTCGAGTGGCCGCAGGCCATCGCCGTCATCTTGTTGCAGCACCGCACCGATCTCATACTGACTTGCATCCGTAGTAACTACGAAGGTCAGTTTGGGATCTGCAATGCGGAGTACCGGGTAACTTACCAAGGTTTCCTTGAGAGCTCGAAATGCTTCCGTACATGCGGCATCCCAGGAATAAGACACGTTCTTGTTGGTTAGTCGCGACAATGGATGAGCAATGATAGAAAAACGAGGTACAAACTTCCGATAGTACGACGCGAGACCAAGAAAAGAACGCAATTCACGAATGTTCACTAGCTGAGGCCAATCCCGTATGACCTCAATCTTGGTTGCCTCAGGCTCTAGGCCTGCAGCAGACAACCTGTGCCCAAGATAGATGACGCTATCCTTCCCAAACTCGGATTTCTCCAAGTTGAGATGGAGCTGCGTCTTTCTTGAGGATGGCAAGTACCTCCTCAAGATGCTAGAGGTGTTCCTCCATGGACTTGCTGAAAATCAGGATATCGTCCAGGTACACTACCACGAACCGGCCAATCTGTTCGCGGAGGACCCTGTCCATGAGGCTTTGGAACGTGGTTGGTGCGTTCGTAAAACCGAAGGGCATTACGGTAAACTCATAAAGCCCATCGCGCGTCTTGAACGCAGTCTTGTGCTGGTCCGCAGGATCGACTTCAATCTGGTGGTAGCCAAATTTGAGATCGATCTTGGAGAAGACCTTGCACCCGCCTGCAGCATCAAGCAAGTCATCTATACGAGGCAATGGGTAAGCATTCTTTCTTGTGATGTGGTTTCGACCGCGATAGTCAATGCACATGCGGAGTTTGCCTCCTTTCTTTGGCACAAACAACACAAGAGCACCAAATTCAGATTTACTTGGTTTGATCCACCCTTTGTCAATCATCTCATCGATCTCCCGCCAGAGTTCCTCCAACTCGCCGGGTCCCATACGGTACACGCAGCCCTTTGGAGGAACTGCACCCTCGACCAATTCGATGGTGTGTCGGATTGGTCGCGTGGGGACTCCACGTGGCTCAGCCAAGACTTCAGGAAACCGATCGAGGAGGGTTTGAATGTCTGATGGGACAGGTGAGGGTGGGGAATCAGCAAAGGGATCACCAAAGTCCGGTCGCAGGTCGCGTATAGAGACGACCGAATTTGAAGTAGGATCATTTGGACTATTAGAGGGTAGAGAGGTAGAGGTGCTAGTAGTAGAAGTACTAGAACTTGGATCATTAATCAAAGTAGTAGTGGTACTAGCCGCAAAAGTAGAAGGCACATAAGCAGGACGAACAAAGGCAACATACATTTGTTCTTCCTTCTTGTGCTTGCGCCACTTCTTGCAGAACTTCAATGCATTCAGAAAAATCACTGGGGATTCGTGCTTCTCATCCAAGAGGACAGGAAGCTTGTTCCCCTGAGCATCTTTGACCATGAAGAGCGATTCCTTCCACTTAGTCCATTCGCATTGGGACTGCAGCCAGCCCAAGCCAAGAACAGCGTCGAAGGGGCACTTGTCAAGGACAAAGAAGTTCAGTGCATGGGTGACAGTCTTACCTTTGTCAAAGGTAGTGCGCACACCTTTGACTGCATGTGTAGAAGAGACAACTTCTTTGTTGCCAACTTGGGTCCGGCAAGGGTTCTGCAGGGCCACTTGCTTCATCCCCAAGCCCACCTTGCGTATCCCATGTGGTGACATGAAATTAGTTGTGGCACCACAATCAACTAACACACGGAGATAACGGTGGTTGATGAGAAGTTTAAAGAAGATTAACTTCACCGTCCCTTGGGCCCGCTGCTGTTTCATTTCAGCCCAATGCTCCAAGTGGTAGTGGAAGTCAATCATCTCAGACTCYTCCCAAGGCTCGTCATACAATACGTTACTTACCGCAGCCTTGTCTTCAGCAGATGGTTGGGCTTCAAGGGAGGGTTGCTGATTTTCATCAGATATTAACTCCCCTGTTGTAGAGTTTGTTGAATCTGACTCTACGCCCGGTTTTGGTTTCCCTGCAACCTATAACAGTCTTGGACCTTGTGATTTGACTTTTGGCAATGCAGGCAAACCCCCTTCTTGAGTCTGCCCCGCTAGTCATTCTCAGTGATCCGGAGGTCAACCCACGGTTTGGTAGATGCATCCTCTAGTTTAGGCGGGATCTTAACTCCGTTGGGGAGTTGGACATAACTCTTTCCAGCACTCCGATTCGGTCCCTTAGTGTTGGCAGTCTTTTTAAAGGCAGAAAATTTTTCTTCTTCGTTATTTGCGTCGGACTCATGGGCTGAAGAACAAGCTGTATCAGAGTCCTGTTCTTGGTCGTCACCAAGAGTGGGGTCAACCGCATCAGCTTCTCCTTCAGCCTCCAGCAGGTCATGCACAACAAAACGGTTGCTGCCCTTGAACCGTCTGCCACCCATGGGCTTTTTGCTGCCTGCTGTGCTAACGAGGTCCATGGCCTCTAGACTGACTACATCCTTCATTAAGGCAAGCCAGTCAGTATAAGCAATGTAGTCCCTGCCCAGGCGACTAGTGAAGTTAGTTGGAACCGCGCCCTTGACCACATCTAAGCAAGATTGAGTGGACAATTCGAAACCAGGAGTGGCAAACAGCGTGCTTAGATAGGTCTGCAGGCTTTTCATGGAGCCGTTCCACTTGTTGTGCTTTACTTTATCGAGTTGAATCCTTGCTTTAGCAGCGACATGTGGATCTTGGTATTCTGAGATAAGGAGTTCTTCGAGGGAGGCAACCGGGGTGGACCTTAGCCATTTGGCTAGTGCAGACTTTTGAAACCCAGCCCGCGTTGCTTGGAATTCTAGGAAGCCCCGCTGCCCCGCACGACTGGCTCGACATTCATACCCATGATAACTGCCTGGGTCTCAGCTTGAGTCCCCATGATCTCAAAGTAGGCCCTCATGGAGCCGATCCAGGACTTGATGTCTTCCTTGCCATCGTACTTGGACGGTATTTGAACCGCCTTCCGGTCCACATAGGGACCGGCGTGGATGGGTCCAGCAGCAGCTGGTTCCGGTCTTGGGGCTGCAGCAATTGCAGCAGTTCCAGCCTCATCGCTTGTTACAGCAACAATGGAATCTGCACCTGCTGCAGGTCCTGAAGGAGTTGCCATCACACTCGAAGATGAGGTAGAAGAAGACACAGTAAGAGGGGCAGAGGAAGTTTCGATTGCATCTTCAGTTCCAGGAGGTAGAGGAAGAGGGTTGGTCACTTGGGCTTGTCGCAGATCCGCCATCTCCTTCGTCAGTTCATGGTACTTGAGGGTCATCTCAGTCAGATCATCCTGAAGTGTCTGCAGTTTTGCAAGGACTTGAGCGATCTGAGTGGTATGGTCCTCAAGGTTCTTGATTTGAACAAAGGCTGTGAGGATGGACTGTAGCTGTTCCCCGCACTGCTCTTCAATCAGTGAGGGAACAGTCTCTAGGAGGGCTACTTGCCTTTTCAGCAAGGCCTCCTTCCTCTCCTTCTCTGACTCTTGTTCCCGTTTTATAGCACCATCCAAGAGTGCTTGCAGATGTGGTTTCTCAGCATCACCGGCTGCATCTAACAAGGCCCGCCATTGCGTCGAATTTAGCTGGGCCATCTTTGGACTGTCAGTGTGGGCAGGTGGATCAGAGAGTCGCCAGACAGCAAAAGAATCAATCAGACTCTCAAGAGGTTCACTCCCCCCCGCGCTTAGACGAACACTCCTTTTCCAAGTCCTTGCCCACCTCAGACTATCACTTTCCCTCTCTCCCTGTTCTCTCTCCCTCCTCTCTCTTTCTTCTTTCTGATTGCGAGTCTCCACGGGCATCGGAAATGAACTCAGAAAAACAGATAAAGCTCAGAGTAAAGAAGGTAGAACTCCTAGCCGGAGCGGCATTTCATTTGGAAGCCGTGAACAATAGAAAAAAAAAAACAATCAAACTCAACGAGAGGTCTGATCCAGCGACCCAGTCTGATCAGGCTGCATACGAGGTCCTCTCGAGTCCAGCCTGACCAGCCCTATGTCCGTACAGCAAATCAGACAACAAGTGACCAGATGCAACAATAGAGAATTGAGTGGTGTACAGGGTTCGAGTCAAGCCACGGACTGTGCAATCAGAAGACATGCGAAACGTCAAAGCCAAGATCCCCTCGGCAGTGGGTGTCCTAATCCAGAAAGAATGAACTCATATCCCAGCCAAGAAGACAAGAGGTCAATGCCTAACCGATTTGGGTTCAGAGGCTCTCCTTGTTTGGGCCCGGTCCCGCTGGTCCCAAGGGTCCCACTTGGTCCCAAGAGTCCCACGTAGGTCTCAACCAGGTCCCAACCAAGAGGAGTCCCACCTCAACTTAATTCAGTCTCAACTGTACTGAAAAACGAAATTTCAACTTCTGGCAGCACCTACAGACTACAACCGTTCAGTGATGAAAAGATAAAGCACTGTAGAAAGACTCGGCATGTATAACAAGATACTCCATTTTCCATCCATCAGGTGAGTAGGTAGATCACATGCATTCAGTCACACAATCAAGACCACAGAGGAGTAGGAAAAGAAACCCAGAGTTCCCCAGCAGGTCAATCAATAGCATACACCCCAACATGGGCAACCCGTGGGTGCACGACACTTACCCGAGTGGCCTTGAGCTTCGAGATGAAGAGAACTCACCCCCCTTCTCATATGGTCCTCCTGACCCATCTAACGCTACCCCTACACTAGTGTCCTATCTCCTAGGAGGGTCTGACTCCAACACCCAAGTGCAACGCCGGATCCCCCGTCGATGCTGAAGAACAAAGTAGCAACTTGCAGTCCATTGATGCAGAATGGCCGCTGACCCTCAAGCTCGCCTACTTGAGGGAAGCCCTTAAGTTGCCAAGTGTCTCCCTTGAACCAGATTCCAGGTGCGAGTGCCTCTCACTGTCACCTCTCTCAAATCGCCGCATGAAGTCTCCTTGAAATGTCTCGCCACCCTAATCTCACTCTCAAGTAACCTGGTTAGGGTCTATGTTGACCCCACATGACCTAACCAGGTGGGGGCAGCTTCCCTTAACCACGCTGCGCCACTTCCCTCAACCATCCAACCCTAACCCTAAGTGTTGCCCTCAACCACTTAGGTTAGGGTTAGGGTAGCAAAGTCAACTCTCACCAGCAATTAGAATCCGCTCTGATACCAATGTTATGACCCTGACCAATTTCGAGATACACATCCACTGAGAAGTGCAATGTCATCCAATTGCAGAAAGAAAGGAATGGACTTGAGAGGAGAGAAAGGAGTAGAAGAAGAAGAAGAAATGAGAAAGAAGAAGAAGAAGAAGTACACCAGCAAAGATGATGACAAGGCTCTTCTTCTTCGCCCAACAATCTCCTCCTCCTTATCTCCCCCTTCTCTTATTCATACAAGAAATAATAGTAAAATGTGGAATGACTGGTCCAGAATCATGTCCGAGTCCCTTTTCTACTGCAGGTATCACTCAAGGTCCACCATAGCCATGGCTGCCTCCCCCATTCTTCACACACATAGGCTGAGGCTATGGCGGACTACTAGGCCTTGCTCCGACGTCCAAAGGACAACCCAGAGCAGCTATAGTTGCTCCACCTCAGGCCGCCATGCCCAGCCTTGCCTTGAAGCTTCTTGGTGTAGCTCCCCCGGTTGGGGACTCCTTGCAGCAGCGCCCACCAAGGTGATGAAGATGGATGCCACCATAGCTAGGTAAGTTCCCCTGGCGCTTCTCCCCCTTCCTCCTTCCTTCCTCCTTCCTTCCTCCTTCTTCCTCCCTCTAGTCCTTCTTCTTCCTCCCCAGCAGCGCAACTCCAACCCAGCGCTGCTCCCTCCAGCGCTCCACCAGTGTGTCGCCAAACTTGCACACYGAAAAAGAGGTCGGGTCTTCCGTCCGGCCGGAAGATATAGTGGCCTGCTTTGCCTCTTGGGCGGTGACTTCCAGGCCGCTGGCCTTCCCAAGCAACCGGTTCCTCTTCCTCCTCTTGGAGGGAACATCACTGCAGACTCTGATATTGCCCCTACAGGCCCTAGACTCAGACCGGTACCAGCTAGACCTATCCTACACTACCGGCCTCTAAAAATGTCACTTTTGTCTTCTTCTGCTCGGCCTCTGGTACCTGCATATTTACCCCCCTGCCGGGTGCGGTACCGGCCTACCCTCTACTTGAGTGCTTTTTCCTTGCTGCAATCCTTCGAAGCCACGGCTACAGGTAAGTACCGGCCCTGAGGGCCCAACGAACGAACAAGTGCCCTGGYGGGCCACACACACACACACTCATACCAACCAGCACTCAGACAGGCA